TCCCATGTCTCCATCTATACAATTTTGTACATAATTAATTTATAAAATAATAATGATAAAATTGATAGATAGATAGATAGATAGATAGATAGATAGATAGATAGATAGATCTACAGTAAATGCAAATATACCAGTCTATACTTCCATGTCTCCATCTATACAATGTTGATTCTCTTTCATACTCTACAACTCCTTTATGTCCACACTGGCCTGTTTATATAAACTTTTTTAAGCAGTTCCTCATGAACCAGAGGCGCACTGTCAGGACGCTGAACAAGGGTTTGCAGACCTCAGCTAGTATTTGCCTTGTAGCCTGTGCCATCCACACCACATCCATCTCCAGTTCCCATGAAATCACGCTGCTTAGATCAGGGTAAATCACACCCGGCCAGCTTCCCACAAGGCCGTACTGAGAGGGCAGCACAAGGACAAATTCAACGCTGAGCGTGGAGGCCTCAGCATTATCTGGTTTTTATAGGGAAGAACTGGTGTCCATAAAGACAGCGGGAAAACAGAACCTCTCTGACATAAAGTTTAACGGAGAAAAAGAAAGTGCGGTTTGGCTTCTGTCTGGCCGGGGTCCTGTGTTTCAGAAGGCCTCCCTGTCAAAGCCGGGGTGTTTTGGGTAGAAACAGCTCTTTTGCTGCTTCGGGGAATATCGTGTTAAGAGAGCCTGCTCAGCTGTAGACGGCCGAAGCACTTTGAAATAGAGGTTGAAAGTGAGAGAAATCGCCCTGGCTCGAGGTCCATTAGTTAGAAGAAGTTGTCTGTCAGGGCTCATGTGTTGTTATTCTGTTCGTTTCGGCTCCAAACAACTCACCACCACAACATCCAGCTATTTCAGTGCTCTGCAATTACAGTTAGAGTAACAAAGTCAAGCTAAATTGATTTACGGGAAGATATTTTTGGTCGTTTGATGGAGTCCAGTCATTGTAAAACTAGCCCACAGCCCCTTTGGCCCTTCTGCGTTTGCAGGCACGTCCAGATCCGGCGTTCTCCTTCCAGACTCGGTCTGCGTGTTATTGTTGGAGCATATCTCAGTCTCCATTACCTCCCATTAATGGCTTAATTCGCTGTTTTTTTTTTATGTGCAGGGTAATTCAGCCTTTTACAGATAGCGTCATACAGAGCTTGGATGAAAGCAGCTCGGGAAGAGGCTACAAGTATTGCTTGCAGGAAATGTGGAGCGAGCGAGGCCAAAAGCAATATTTAGCTGCTGATTTTAAACTCCTGTGCACTGTATCAGTTCGCAAGCGTGCGCTGTAATAATGATACCCGTGTTTGGAGAATGGGCTATTTTCAATGCAATTCGGTGCACGCAGCACCTGTGCTCTTTCTTCCGTTCTCTCTCTTTTTCTCTGTCCTCCATTACTTCCTTTTAAAGAATTGATGAGTTTCTATTTTAGATCTGTTAGCAACACATATTACATTTTTCTCTTGCATGATGTAAAGGAGCATAAAATATGCATGTGTTTCTCTCTCAGGTGCGGAAGAGAATGTCTGTCTGCCGTCGGCCCCTCACTGTCCCGATTCCTGCACATGCTCGGACGCGGTGGTGCGCTGTAGTAACCGCGGGCTGCGTTCGCTGCCTAAGGGTATCCCTAAAGATACAACTGAACTGTGAGTTTCTCCTTCCAGCTCCCTTTATTTGTCTTTCTTCCTGTCACGTTTTCATCTTTTTCAGTTTAGAATAGACAGTTTATTTCCACAAAAGACAGGATTTTGTTTCTGTAAGGGTTGGCACAGTGTCACATCCAGGTTGGCCAGTTTAGTTAAAATAAGCAAAAAATAATTTAATTCATTTGACCATTGATCCAAGTGACCTTCGGGATGCAGATGGAGATTTGATTCAGTGTCGGACAGACTGATTGATTAATTGATTGGGGATGACAAAGCTCTAACAGAAACCGCATGATTGAATTTAAACAAAATATGAACAAAAAATTTGAATACACCAGTGCCATACATTTGTACAACAAGACTGGAACAATGCGTTCACAGTAATTTTTTGTTGTTGAGAATTCATTTTCTTTCAAACTAGAACTAGCCGTCATGATATTTGATTTTCACTAAACATTTTGTTATTTGGCCAAAATAATTCATGGTAGCTATATTATTGCAATATCTAAAGAAATTAAGACAAAAAAAACATTAAAAAACATATATCTATCTATCTATCTATCCATCATCCATCCATCCATCCACCCACCCGCCCATCCATCCATCATCTATCCATCCATCCACCCACCCATCCACCCATCCATCCATCCACCCACCCATCCATCCATCCACCCACCTATCTATCTATCTATCTATCTATCTATCTATCACATGATATCAGTATTTCATTTTTAAAATATCAAGGTTATCATCAATACTTGTTTGGTATGTTGCAATACCCTTAGGAAATAAGAAATACAGTTTCTGAAATGTTCAGAGAACAACTATGCCCATGTCACATGATGACCAGTACACTCTCAGGAAAAAGGGGACAAAAGTTACTAATATATAAACTTTAGTTACTAATATGTATCTTTAAGGTACTCACATGCAGCATTTAGGGGTAAAGAAGGTATCTTTTAGCTTTTGTATCTTAGGGTAATGCCCCATTGATAGGGATTGATTCTGAGATGGGTCGCTCTGATTGTATGAGGGTCAGTGAGTTGTTGCTCTGTTAAGGTATCGGTCATAATCTAATGGACAAATCAGATGAAGAGTGACCACAGTGCCTTCGTAGAACTGCTGACACACAGGCCATTTAAACTCGACAAGAGCCACTCATACTTGGAGAAGGGGGATAGCTGGAGAGACAGGGAAGCAATAGAACAAGACGACCGTGACTAAGAGAAGGAAAGAAATCACAAGATTGCAAACAAGTGACAAGGAGAGACTGATATAACAAGTGGTTATATTAGCGAGTGTGGTGAACAGAAATATCCTGCCTTGTCGCTGTTGGTTTTTCAGCAGAAGGACAGTAATTGTTCTTGGGTTGTGCAGGAAAACTCCAGCAGGATTGACCTCTTCTCCTGTGTCATAGTTTTGAAGACAATACTCTTGCTCACTGACAGACCCCATTGTCAAATCGCTTTGAGAGCAGACCATGAGTTCCCTGTCAAAGCCTCATCTATCTGTGTCCTGTCATCTTGCTGTGGCCGGGTCTGCTGATGTTCTGCTGAGAACGGCCTTTTAGCACGTCACAGAGTGGCAAAATTGGGATGAAACTCACCCAAGAGTACATTTTGTAGATTAGCAATCCCAGCAGCCACACTTCATGACCGTTCTGTGATTATTTTCTGAAACCTAGCATAGACAGTAAGGCAGCTCCCTGTAACTTCTCTACATCTAGAGCCACTTTGTGGTAATAAGACTATTTCTTCCGATGTAAAATTGATTTTTAAGCATGAAATGAAATTTAAAATGAATCTGGTTTTACTTTGTAGCTTGTTTGAGGATTGTAAACTTACCGTTTTTCTTACCGTTTCAGATATTTGGAAGGAAACCTCCTCACCTCCGTGCCCAAAGTGCTTGCTAATCTGAAACAACTGACACTGCTGTATGTATTTCTTCACTTTTCATTTGAATTTATTCATTTGGCACACACTTTTACCTTTAAGGGACCTATTTGTGCATTAAATGCATTCATTTGTATGTTTGTTTTAAAGGGGTGGTTGATTGCGATTTCACTTTTTTAACGTTAGTTAGTGTGTAATGTTGCTGTTTGAGCATAAACAATATCTGCAAAGTTACGAAGCTGAAAGTTCAATGCAAACGGAGATATCGTCTTTTAAAATTCTGGCAGTTTAATGCCTACAAAAACGGCTGGTAGGGACTACAACGAGTTACTTCCCGGGTTCGTGACATCAGAAAAGGCAGCAAAGGGGGCGAGGCCATGCTGTGCTGCTTTAGAGAAGAGGAAGAGAAAACTAGAGGTGCACGTAAAAATATATTCATATATGAATCGTAATTCTGTCTTCTAACGATTCTAATGGATTCACAAGTTTCAAAATCAACGTTCTAAAGCAGCGGTTCTTAATACTGTTCCTCGCTTCCCCCTGCTCTGCACACACTCTGCATCTCTCTCTCTCTCATTCAGCTCAGCTCCAACAATGAACTGTTCCAATTATACACTTATTTTCACATAGCTATGAGAAGCGTTAAACATGCAGCGTGCAGTTGCCGTACTGTATTAACGCTTTAATCAGGATAAAACCGTATATTAAAAGCTAACATAAGCAGTAGCATTTACAAATAACAGCGTATCTAAAAGTATGAGACAACAACAAACAATAAACATAGGCCTACCATTAAAAGCCGTGCTTGCACAGGTTCTGCACGATCCTCTTCAATAATATCCTCTGCTTCTCAATTGGGCTCAAACTGATAAGAGATGTTAACGACGCCTTGTTTACAATACAACTGGAGCACATGCTGCTGAGGTGAGGGGCGGGACGATTAGACGCGCACTAGAGGCGGTTTAGCCAATCACAACACACTGGGCTAGCTAACCAATCAGAGCCCATCGCCTATTTCTGAGGGAGGGGCTTCATAAAAGAAGGAAATGATCAGCATGTTTATAGGAGAAGGGACAGAATTTTTTTTTTTTAAACGAACCATTAACACATGTTAGACTGCACCCCATAAACACAATCAAGTCTAGAAAAAAAACAGTGAACCACCCCTTTAAGCATACAGCATTATTTTTATTTCTGAAGCTGCGTGAATTTAACAATTTTAGGAAATATGAAGCACCTGTATACACACAAAAAAGTTTGTAATGCTTACTTGACAGTAAAAACCTGTTAATTGTTTAAGTGTAAGTTACTTTAGCATGCATGGTGAAAATTGTAAACAATGCTTTTTATGTAATTTTACTGTAAAATACTGTAGAAATTAATGATTTTTGCAAGTAAAAGCTATGAATTAATGTATAATTTACAGTGAAAAACATGAAAAATATCACATTCAGTATTATATTTTATTTAAATCATTTGGTTTCTTCTCGTTTTTCTTATCAGCAATGTACATGAGGGTGTTTTTTATTTTATTTTATGCTTTTAGTTCATGTTTGTTGCATTTTCTTAGTGCCTTGTTACTCTGATGCTGCTTTTCTCTTTGTTTGTGTGACCATATGCACCATTTATATATAAAAATTGGCCATATTTTATGGACAAGTTACTTATGATGAAGTCTGATTCATCGTGTGACTATATTGTGGCATGTGTACTTAGATGGTAATTATCTGCACATTCTTTAAGGTACAAAGCAAATTTTGGTGCTTTTTATGTATCTTGGTATAACATTCAACCACTTAAGGAAATAAAATAAGTTGTAAAATGTACAGTCACCAACATGCCATCCCATAATCACTCAAATATTATAACTGAGTGAGTTTCTGGCAACCACAACTGCCTTTTTTTTTGCATAAATTAAGCAGGATATTTTTTGCAGTATACGGTTTAGTTTTTATGCATGTTTGAAGTCATTAGTTAATAACCTTTACCTAACCAGGATGAAAGTAACTGCGATTAAATCTCTTTTCTAAGAGTAAGCCAGCTTTGGATTGTGAAGGCATGTTGTAGACGTTGTTCTGAGGGTGTGTGTAATTGAATCTGCTGTGTGTTTGTGTGTGTTTCCTCTGCAGAGACCTCAGTAATAACAGCATCAGTCTTCTTGCCCCTCTCACCTTCAACAACCTGACGCAGCTCGCCACCCTGTAAGTAACACTGTAATCCAACAATCAAACACAGTTTCTGTGTCCACATATGTGTTTGTCAGTGCAGTCATGTGAATGTGATTACTACTGCCAAAAGATTTGGCAGAAATGTTGACATTAAATGTGTGTGTCTCACTCATATTTCGCTCTCTCTTTCTGTCTCTTTCTCTGCAGTATCCTGAGCTATAATCAGATTCGCTGTGTCCCGGTTCATGCATTTGATGGCTTGCGTTCTCTCCGCCTGCTGTAAGACTCCCTTTTGTTTTTCACCTGATGAACCAGCGATCTGCTGCACGATCATATCAATCTCTCTCTCTCTCTCTCTCACACACACATACACACTCCCCATGCACCACAACACCTCTGTGAGATCCTAATAACCTGCCTTATGAACTTCAGGAGATTACTGCCTGAACAAAGCTGCTTTAGAACAGCATGTTCACAGCATAAGCAAGTTCTGAAGGAAAAAAGCAATAGATTTTAAGAGCACTTAAGTCCCATGGGTAAACTTTTTTTCTTTTGGTTGTATGAAAGTCACATTAAAATGGTCTCGGAAACTTTTTAATATGCCTTTATTTTTGTTACTTACCAGACTACTTGCAGACTCAAACTCAAAACTACATTGAATTTTTTTTTTTTTTTTTTTTTTTCTTGTTGTTGTTTATTTTTGTAATTATTTCTACACCTATTTTTTCAGTGTATGAAAATCCATTACAATATTACTTTTGCTATAAAAATTTAAATGTATAATATTCTAAGCAGAGTGTAAAATAAGTATAAATCATTTAAATATTAATTATGCAAAAATTACCGTACCGTTCAAAAGTTTGTGAAGTTTTTGTGGAAACCTTGATGTTTCTTAGAACAGATAATTAAAATATATATATATATATATAATTTATTTGAAATAGAAGTCTTTTGTCAGATTTGATCAATTTAATAAAAAAGTTAATTTCTTAAAACAAAATCTCTGATTCTAAACTTTTGAATGGTAGTGTGTGTTCCTCCTTAGCTGTTCCTTAGTTGAGAAAAATCAAGGTAAATATCACTTATGAACAAAATATTTTTTGATTGTGCTATAATTCTGTCAACTTTATCTTATGAAAAAAATTTGATAAAATATTGAACGTATTTATGGTACTAGAATATGAAATTAGCCTTAGTAAGTCAACGTTTCTATTGAAAATATAATTTCCATCACATATTTATTTGGCATTTTGAGATGTGGTGGGAAAAAAAACATTTGTCCATGGATAAAAAGTTCTGAGATGCATGTATTATTCGCTCTTGTAAATTATTAGGAGACAAATAAATGAGTGAGTTTGAAATGTGTGATCATAGTTTAAGAAACATCCTGTCTGCATTAAGCTGGATGTTGTGTTCTGCGGCTCTGGGCAGGATAGGTTATCAACACCCTGTGTGCACAGATATGTTAAACAGCCCAAAGGACGCCCACCTTATTCCGGCCCTTTTAAGCTTAGCCTGCCAGGCAGTCATCATTGTCACTTTTTAATTTTCCAGAATGCCCCAGGGCCAGCGCTGACGTGGCCTCAAAGGCCCGTAGCTGTCCAATCATGTTCTCAGGTTGCAGTCTGAGTGTGTATGTGTGGGCCGAGCGCCCCGTAATAAAACAGGAGAAATTATTAAACAGAACTGACACAGCATACAATGACATCTCAATGCAAATCTGCCGTTCCCACCAGTGTCTCACAAAAAAACGGCAGCGGTTTTCTATAATCTTCACTAAGTGCCGTGAATGACCGACCCTTTCTTTCTCTATCTCCATTTATAGTGTGGAAAACAATAGATCCAGCTCCCAGAGCTCCATGCTTTTTTCATTTCCTTTTCATTCTTCTCTTTCAGAACCCTCCACGGAAATGACCTTTCAACTATTCCAGAGGGAGCCTTCAGCCACTTGACATCTCTGTCTCATCTGTAAGTGTGTGTGTGTGTGTGTGTGTGTGTGTGTGTGTGTGTGTGTGTGTGTGTGTGTGTGCGCGCGTT